TCATCAATGCGCGACCCAAAATTACATAATACTTTCATCTAGATTTTGGACTCACTCGGACAAGTCATAAGAAAATCTAAAAGTGCACTCTGGGTGTCCCATAAATTATTGGTCATAAATCGTCAGGGGAACTCTGAGGAAACCATAAAGAACTCATGTTTCAGGACGCGAAAGGAGAAATGGTTATCCGACAATTTTCTAAGGAAAAACTTCAGAAAATTCCTCATACTGTTCATTAATTACTCAACGAAATTTTCCGCAGCGCAAACGATTGGGGAAATGATTGAAAAAATTGAAATACATAAAAGTATTGATATAAATATTTTTTAATGTAAATTGGATAATTTTGAAATATATTTAGGAAATTTGATTTTTCGTTTGGAAATAAAAGGGAAATGAGGAATTGAATGAACTCAAAAATTGGACGACTCGTTCGTTAGCCGCAATGAGAGATTGTAATCGCAAAAATAACTGCCAAAGTACTAGCCAAGGAGTTACGCAAATTGTCGAGCATGAAACAGACCGAACACGATGACTTCGTGGTTATTATACTAGAACTATTACACAATTCCACGCCGATGATAACATTGCAGAAGTGGTTAATTAAAAATTCTGGCGACAATGTCAACTGTCTATCCGCATCACTCATCGTATGAATAAAAAATTCATCTTCAAACTGGTGAATCGATGTGGACGTCTCAACATATCCGATATTACCTCGACTTTCACTGGATGCCGACGTACGTCCTCACTAATTTCTTCGGTGGAATGAAAAATCCTCAGACCAGTACGAATTATATTTTACGGCGAGCCTCGAAAGTGTAGCATAATGCAGAGAAATAAGTGACGACGAATAACTGAATTTTTTATTCTTCAAGTATACCTGGAAATAGGGGAATTGAGTGACGGAGGAAATTACTCTAGCGCAATTGCGCTCGTTGAAATTTTTTGAATTTTCAGTAGTTCCATTGGAATTCTCAATGTAGAAAATTTTAATTTAATAATTGCAATAAAAAAATACTAATCATCGAATTAAAATACGACAAAATTCATATCAATTGCAATATATTTTACTTTATCATCAACATATTTTATTTTCAAAATAATCTCCAAATAATTATGCAATCCCACTGAAGATTCACATCAACCGATTTCCCATCGAGAAAAGCCGACAATTTTCTCAAAAATCATTATTAAAAACTTCATGATAATTTCTTTATGATTTACAGAGTAATTTTCTGAGAGTCTGATTCTGTGATGTAAAGCGGGAAAATCACTTATGATGTGTTGGATTTATCCGGAGAATTACACCGTGCAATATAATGAGTACGAGCAATAATAATCGGGGAGAGGGTATAAAAACTATAGCATCTTCCCAGGTTGATAATTATCACACCGCGGTATGTGAAACTGGAGAAACGCTTCCGGTTTGAGCCATTGAAAACCATCTGCGTGGAGTGGCAGAATGTAAATGACGTACGAAAATTCAACTTTTGCGGAGGAGGAAATAACGGGAATTATTTTTTTATGGATGACCACAAGGCGCCAATAAAAAAAAACTCCATTCGGATTAATTACATTGAATTTGCCAAACTCAAATAGTACGATTTATTTATTTATCTATTTATTTATTTAACCAGCCCATCAATCCAGTGATTTTGACGCATTACTCGGCGGTTTCCATTGCCCCCAATCGATCCTCTCCATCATCAGACATCATTCAATTTTTGACACCGGGAGGTGAAAGCCTATTTTTAACTGAATCACCAATTTCGTCTGCAGCCTCATCTCTGACCTTTCCATTACCAATAAAAAATCGCCCTCTTCTAGGGCATTCTCTCCAACAATTTCTGTCCAGAGAGAAATCCCCCGAAAAATTTACAATCGATTCCTAAAATTTTATTAGCAAACATTTCACTGAAATATTGCGAACTGATGCAACTCACACTATTTTTTCTGCGAAAAGAAATAATTTCTTGGGATTTCTGTAATTGCCTGATTTCTCGGGAATTTCTCCCTGGGTTACTCGATCCTAGGACTGGAATTTTCATGGAGAATTCTCTTTATGGGAAAGTCCTGTAGGTTCTTCATTACTCTCATAAGAAATTGAGAGAGAATATGTTGATAAAGAGGGAAAAGGTACGGGATATCTATCCAGGAGACATGACTTTCATCGTGAATCCCACTGGTCCGACCTTTCGAGAGGTCGACTCCACTGCGATCGCTCGAGTTTCACCCAGACCCCGGGGATAATTCCACCGATCCTCTTGGTTTCCTCCTGCCACCAGGGCGTTGCAATTGATAAAATCGCCAATTTGCATCAGCGGACAGTAATCGTCACTTTCTTCTTTATTCTCCATTCAATTGGAATGCCAATAATACCGATAAATTTCCGTGCAATTGGCGTCAAATGATCGATTGGAATTCACGTGTTTCTCAATGGGAATGTCTGAGCTGGAAATGTTTAGAGAATTCAATTGATTTCAATCTCCAGCACACACTCATCATCATTCACACGTGAAAAATTCGCGTGGTCTCTCTCTTTTCCCATTTTCCCTCGTTTTTTTTTTCTCCTCGAGCTGATCCACGAGTGATGACCCGGGCACGCTCTCACGCGGCATTTTTATTTCTCTGTTTCTTATACCCCAACACTTCACTTCCGCCAGTGAAAGGAGGCGAGCATTGCACGATTACTTTACCTATCCTCTCCATGAAAACGCATAATGTACACACACAAATGATGGGCAAATATGTGTCCAACACCTGTCCACCAACTGCTGTCTCTGTGAACTCGAGGACATTATTTTTTCATCCTGGTGAATACCAATTTATTTATTCGCAAATGGGACTCGTTCCAGTTTCCTCTGGAAGTCCCTGAAAAAAATTATGTCTCAACGGAAAAAAAATTATTTTCAGAACGAAATATCTGATTTTTAAACTTTTTTCGCTGTTCGTTGTATTCTCAATGCGAAAATTGGTCTCCGGTGTCAGTTAATTGTTTTCCCACCGGAAGGTAATTTTTTTCTTCCGGGAGAAGGTCATGGGGATGAGGAAAAGTGAAATTTTATGGGACTGAGAAAATTTATATGCAATATTGAGCAATAATTCATGTGCAGAGGAATTATTTCTTATTTCTGATTCATATGAATATCAATTAATAAAAAATTGATTACAAATGCATGAAGGATATGTATAGAATGTATTTTATAAATACTTTTAATATAATTTGCAATTTTATTGAGCAATCTCTTCAGAGCAAGCGAAAAAATCATTAATGCGTAAAATTTCGTGCGAATGCAAATTATAAGCTCATTATAATTAGTTTCGGGTTTCGGGGATGACCTTGATCGACGCGACGAGGCTTAATGAGACCCATGGGTCTTACGCAATATTTATCAATGTTTACTGATTAATTTTTGCCGATATTCAGTTGCGAAGTGGTAAAACGAAATAAGTCGCGGTCGATCATCAACCAGTTTTTGATGTATATCTCATAATCTACGGAAGATAGCAAAATTTTTATTATCAAATTTTTTGTGGAGCGTTTTTAGGTCTACAACAAATGTTATTACAACAATTTCGCTATCTCGCCATTATCAACAGTAATTTTCAAATATGAATAAATTCAGATTTCTCGTATATACATGCATCGATAGCATAACGAAGATAAAAATATCCACAGACAATCGCATTGTAATTATCAGGTCAGACTGCATTTTTCGATAGATATCGTTGGATCGATGAAAAATAGCGGCATTTTTCTGACGATTTTCCAGTGGATTTTCTCGGGTAAAAAAAAATTCTTTTGTTTCAAAAAAAAATTTCTGAAAAGTTTTCCAGAAATTGTTTGAAAATTTGGAAAAAATATTCCGATTACAATTTTTTTATCCGGGTTGCTTCACGGAAAAAACTTCCGCAGAATTTCATTGTCTTCCCGGGATATTCTTCGAAACTTGATTGTGCATTTATATTTATCCATAATTCTTGATTGGAAAGGCCATAACGATTATCGATGGGTGAATGAGTTCTCGCTGATGATGAATGCGATATGTTGATGTAAGACATTAATGCCAGATTTTTTGCGATTCACAGCACGAGCTTATCGAGTTTTGCGAGTCTAATCACTCAGTTTTCTAAAAGTAACGCTTCACCGTCGAGGATTTGCGTCAACGTTGGATGACGTCCAGTGATCTGGTGTTGCGATTGGACTCGAAAAATTTCCATTCGATTCAATTTTCAGTTTTGAATTCAATCTTCTCTGACGAGACTTTCACCTTTCAAATGAACTATTCGTTAGATACTAGTAAATATTCACTTAATAAAATCCCATCTTAAGATAATAATTTTTGTCAGTTCTCAATTAATCTTTCCGCTTTTGAATCGATATTTTAAAATAATTATTTGTTGCCGAATTATTTGATTGCTCGATGATTGAAACCTCGACTGAATAATTCGATTGAAAAAAAAAATTGATGGGAAGTAATAATAAAAATATTTAGACATCGCGAATTGTCAAGAATCTTCACGATTAGAATAGTAAATGTGTTGCTCATGTCAGCGAATGAAAGTGGCAACTTTTTATCAAAGTTAGAAAATCCATGGATTCAACAATTTATTGACATCCTCAACCGATATAGACAGGTTCCACCTGGTTCTAGTCTCGCGGTACTTATTAGGGAAGTCGATCTTCGCGAGCCGATCTTCCCAGTCCCCATGTTTTTCCATTTTCCCGTAGACGATGAAGATAAAATGACAACTGAACAGCCAACGAATGTTCTCGTCGACTCCATAAATTCTGATGCTAAATTTCGCCTAGAATTCATAGAAAATGCAGTGCGGGAGGTAGTTAAGTTTTTATGCCCCGTAATTTCCGACTGAAATGAGCACCAGTAACTTCGGCTCATATAATTCCCTCGATTTCTTAATTTTCCGGGAGCTCGATAAGACATTCCAATTCAGGAAAAAAAAACACGTCGAGAGATAACTTTAAACGACGGAAGTGGATTGCTTCAGACAGATAAATAGATTTTTATTGATAACAGAGTTGAGGCGCAAACAATGTGATCAGAGTATGATATCCGAATTTATGGTGTCCCTTCTTCTTCTCCTCTTGCAATTAGCGACATCAGGAAGTGGTTTGCTCTTGCACTTGTTGAGCCAACCCTTCCAGTACTTGAACCCTTCGGCCTTTTCAATTTTTGACGCGCAGATGATGTCGTCGCTGATATCGTCGTTCAAGAAGTCCTCGCATTTTTTATTACACACTCCACCTTTTCTTCCTCTTATGCAATACTTGTTGTTGAGACTGCTGATTTGGAAAATTCCGTAGGTGAAGCTCGAGGATGTACCCGGCCCCTTCATCAAACTCGTGTTCATACCGCTCTCACTCCTCATCAAGCAAACCTGGTAATTCATTTTATTTTGGTAATTTATTTTACAAAATGTTCACTAAACTGTGGAAATTGATGGATGAGCTCTCCCATTGCCTCAGAGTCAATGCAGAAAAAAAAAATTCACGTGTTTTATGAATTATTAGTATTGAGCAAAATATGGTTGATGAAATTTATCGACACGAGAAAAAAACAATTGCTCACCTATTTAGCGAGCCAAATGACTTATGAGATTAGTAAATAATCATTCGTCAAGTGGTCGGTAATGATTGACTCTGAAATATTATTTTGAATATAAAATATATGCAAAACGTATGTATCCTTAACGTGTAGAATGCTTGTTTATTTATTTTATTGACTCATTTAAATTAAGACTGATTTCAAGTTAAGATTAGTTAATTTATTCTGGCCTCGTAAAAAATTCCAAATATTTCCCCTGATGAAATTCTCTATTCAATTTGAAAATTTAGATTCTTCTTCAACGCATGATGTTATTATCGTCAATTCATTTTTTTCTACAGATAAATTTCAGATGCGATTAGATTAATCCACCGATTGAAACTTCTCTTTAAACTGACGATTGAGTCGAGAGGAATTGTAACCGATCGTTCCGTTAATTGAGTCGCATTAATATATTTAAATGAACACATAAAAAAATTCTTTGGTTTAAATTTTCTCGTTCTCATTAGCAAAGCGTAACGAGCGAACATAAGATTTAATGAATTCTCCGATTGTCGAATGAATAAATGAAATATGAGGCGTCATGTGGATCAGTTGGAAATTCCGAAAATACCCAATTGCTGATGAACGTCTTGGGGATGCCAGCCTTCTGGAGCTCCTTGGCAGCTTCACAGTTTGTCAGGATTCTCCCATGAGTGGGCCACCAAAAAATTGAAAAAATGATAACAAATTCCACAAAAAACCGAGGAACCATCATCGGAGGTTTTCGGGTTCCTCTCTGACGATCCACTATCAACTCCACCGATAGACAAATCACTAATGCTTATTCCTTAGCGATTTTAATTGATAAAAGATAGTCTCGTACCTCCCGCGTTAACGGAATCGAAACGATTTATCTTGTCCTTGAGCTTGCTTACTGCGATAGGCTCATTATCTCTCGTCAACTGTGGATGAATATTTGCATTTGTGACGATTGTAACGTGAAAAGCATTTCAATGGAGTGGGAAGCCCCAGGTTAGTCTACTCTTTCCTCGTTCAGACTGCTCAACTGCTTATATTTTACTTCAAAAGTTCATTTGCTACAATTATCATGGTGTTTTATTGATACCTATTCGGTGATTAAAAATACGTTTATTAAGCAGAGGAGAAGCAGAGCTCGAGCCAAGTCTTGTCAATATTCATTTACGCATCCGAAATGGCTGATTTGACTAGACGGAGTCGAAATGGATTATCCCCTCTTTCATTAGGCACTTCAACAGGGTGAATTGTCCAGTATTTGAACCCCTGGACATTGTGTAAATAATTTTTTTATTCAAATGTACCATCTTTCGAACTTTATTCCGATTTGTTCAAGTAGAAAAGGAGTTATTTTCTACTTTCATTATTTCAAATTTCTCCGAGCAATTCTATTAACGTTGTAGGGCAGTTTGAAGGCTGAATTTTATGATGAGAAAATAAAATGCAGTGGAATGAAATAAAAAGTCTATTGAATTTTTTAATGAACCTTGACTGGAAAACAATTTGTCATTGGAATTATGGACTTGTAATTTCGTGGATAGAATATATTTAAAACTAAAAAAAAAACAAGAACAACGGAGTTAATGTTCGAAAAATAATACCTGATCCTGAACTGGTCAGTTAGCGTGACCACTGGACGATTCACCCCAGTCCTCTCTCATTCGCCTCAAAACTCAATTACCATTTTTTAAATTGAAATTATCTAAAAATAGCTAAAAATATATCACTGACATATTTACACATTATAAAATATCTCCCCTCAAGCCCTCATAACATTCTAAAATAATTGACAGTTCATCAAAGTCAAATCACAGTTTCTCCACAACATTGAGTTTTTCCCACTTCAACAAATAATTCACCAAGGAACTAGTAAATTTATCTCGAAAACGATCGATTCACTGCGGAAACACTAGAGACCTTTTTTGTAGCTGATGAAATTTCTAGTAGAAAAGATCTCTGAATATTTTCTTTTAAAACCACTGATTTCCAAGATCGTGCGATATTTATGAAAAAATTCAATTCCCGGGTGCAGTGAGTCTGGATCTCCTGTCCCTGGCGAATTTGAGATAATCAGGATTGTCGTAGATAATTCTAGCGAGTGCCTGGGTGCTGCCGAAGGTATCAACCCTGGTGCCCCTGCACATGGACAATTGCAGTCCCGAGAGTCTCTCGTCGCACTCGACATCGTGGAACACGTGAACAAGATGTATATCAGGAGCCCTGAAGACATTTAACTTGGACTTGACAACCTTCTCAAAGAAATCAACATCCTCCTTCCCCCACCCAGTGATGGACAGATCGAATCCGCCGATCGTCAGGTAGTCCCTCTTGTAAAGGGAGACAATACCGAAGCCGAATTGCCTCCAGAATCCAGTGAACTCATTAATGAGGAAAGGGTCCTGAGGATTCGAGTTTTGTCTGACGATTTTGGGATCAAATTGACTGAATACGATAGGAAAGTACACCTGTCTCCCAATCACTGTGTTGAGACGTATTCTCTGGAGGGCTGAAGCCCTGAGGACGATATCGACGTCCACGAAGAACATGAGGTCATCCTCCCTGGACTGAGAGGCGCCCAGATGAAGAGCTTGGGCCCTCGAGAAATTCCCAGAGCCTGAGATTACTTCTATTTTGGCACTTGAGTATTTTCTCCTGGTTTTCTCGATCAGCTGCATTGTGCTGTCCATGGAGTCCTCGCTCCTGTGAGGATAGAGGACCACCAGGAGCTCAGTCTTATCACCACTCATCAGGCAAATCTCCTCGTAGTTCCTCAGGAATCTCTGGAACACGTGGAGTCTACCTGACAGGGGCAGGATGAATTTTATGGACTTGTCCTTGATGGGGTCTGCTTCTCTCGCCGAGCTAAAACCCAGGAATCCACTGTTGAAGATGCTCTGGGGCTGCTTCGAAGTCAATCGCCCCTGGCCATCTACTGCCTCACAATTGACGACCTCTCGTACCTCTATACCTGCAATCATGACCGATCGTTTGAATTGAATAAATTTTTCAATAAAATTATTATCGGCAAATGCAATGGTTATCCAATTAATCGATCAGATAGGGGATAATCACCAGTGTAATGCTGATGAACATAGACATGTCTCCTAACCGGAAGTGTGACCTTTCGGCCTCGATATTTTCGATAGACTAGAAGAAGATCCAGAACGGTGTCAGCCCCATAAGAATCTACTCTCCTGTACCCGTAGAGTGCAGATCTCTCCTCAACAACACGTCCACGTTGTCTCGAGCAGGCATTAATTGAATCCATAACTTCCCTCGTTATGTCATCGAGGCCCTCCTTGACGTGTGTATGAATGCGTCGTCTGGGATTTGAATCCGCTAAACTATACTCCGACCTTGATATAAAGTCCCAGGGGACGACTTCTCCGCTGGAGTTGGGCTTGAAGCTTCTCAGACCCACCGGAACTCCTGTCAATCAATCGATTTCAATTGAAAGAAGAGTGAATCGGTTAGAAAATTGAAGTTGTTCTGGGATACACTGTTGTGGTGCCCCTGGAGCTGTCTATGAATGTCAAATTGTCTGTGACGATGTCGATGTGATTGCGTAAGACGGAGTAATGAATAATTTTCGATTGATTTGTCTGGCCGTGCGTGTCGTCCTGTACGATTTTCTCGTCATGTTTCTTTGTCACTCTCGGTCTATTTGTGGTCGGTCAATTGTCTCAAATGGGCCCCGTCATATAAATCGCTGGGGCACTCGTAAATGCCATTTTTTTAATGTCATTTTTGACTCCGGAACCGAGGGGAGTCATTTCTCGTAATTTTACAATGCTTGGAATTTTTAATTTGTCAAAAAATCGATTGACACTCAGAAAAGTCTAGATTTGCCCTCTGCTGTGATACCTCTTTATGAATATTACTTGGTTTTTTTTAATTTAAAAAATTATAATCTTTTACCAAGCAGTTCCATATCGCGGAGGACAGTGCTATAGCCTTTGGACGTGGATAATTGTCGTTGAAAATCTTTGGAAGTCATCCCCAACTGCTGAATCATCACCGTTATGTCCCGGTGGAGGTTGACCCGCTCCTGCTTCAACTCCTGGATTTTCAGGCCCTGCAACGCAAACTTTCATTAAACATTCTCTGAAGTTTTGTAATCGGGAGACTGCGTATTTAGGGTTTTTTTTTTTCACTCACCCTCATGTAGTTGTGGAGGCGGTACATGTGCGGTGGACTTTTAACCGGATGCAGGGTAATTGCCCTATGAACTTCCTTTTTCTTGAGGTTCCCCGTGAATGCTTGATCACCGCTGCTATTGTGGTATAGAATCGATTGCATCTGAAATTCGCATAATTGAATATATATTTTTTCGTTATTTCCCATTTTTCATTGCGATTGGATGAAATTAAATCATTTGCATACACCAGGTTTCCAGGCAGTGAAAAAGATTTCCATTTTTAGACTTCCGGTTCTGCTGAGGCATTTATCATCCACAAGGCGAACATATGGGACATCATCGGTGGGAAAAATGTGATAACGATTGCTGGGAATAGTTTACATTATTCGGAATATTGTACTGAAGAAGCCTGTGACTTGACTTTCAAGTCAGTGATGATGTTTTATGTCTCTGGAGTCAAGCGCAATCAGCTTTCTCATTAACGAATCCAAATTACCGATTCCCATCTGCCAGCTGTTTTGACAAATGGCACCGAGAAAGCCAGAGATGACCCCTTCACCCACCCCGCAATTTTCCTTCACCACGTAAGTACCAACATCCTCATTGACAATCCAGAGTATAGAATTACCTGTTCCATTCAATTGAATCATTACATCTTGACCGACTGACTGCCCATACAAAAACCCCAGGAGTCTGATTATCCTCGGACCTTTGGTCTTTCGTTTTTCGAAAATAGGTCCAATTCTCGGAATTCATCCGCAAACTTTGGAGTCTGCAATGAATCATCCAGTCTCTCAAAAGCTGTCTGTAAACACTCTCCTACATTCTCGAGTTCGAAGGCCATCAAACGAGAAGACCGAGTTAGGAAAAACCCAGAGGTCGAAACCGCAAAATCGTCAATTAACGTCTGAGAACCCAAGGAGCTCAGAGAAAAATTCGTGACAACATTTACACGGACAGAATCATCTGAAAGAAGATTTACCCCGATCGCAGTTTTTACTTCACATATTACTGTAAAAATTTCGCAAAAATCGTGTTTTCCAAAAAAAAAATTCTCGAAGAGGAAAAATATTGTATGATGTTAAGGAAAAGTCACTTGATTGTAAATTCTGTTAATTATTTATTAGGATAAGGACATGTCTCTGGAAGTAAGGAAAAAAAAACTTGAAGCTGAGTAATTGTAATTGTAATGATTCCACTCCAGAGTGACAACCCTTCGGTGGAATCCTCGAGTCTCGATAAAAAAAAAAACTCGTTCCCAAGGTGTTCGCTTCCATCATCGCTTCACCTATCATCCGAATCAAGAGTCCAGAAGAAAGAAATCGAAACCCACGAGAAAGACAACATCAGAAACCGGTTGAGGACAAAGAGTTTATCCATAACCACAGGTTTCCCCGCACGACATCTCCAACAACAATAACCCCGAGGAATTAGAATGTCAACGTTCAGCGTCAGTCACATATTATCATCACCAATTACGTAATTATCATTGTCCTTACGAAGACGAGACCGACCCCAGGGCCGACTAATTCCCTACAGACCGCTGGTCGCTAAAAAATTGGAACTCCAATCTTTTGTGATTTAATTTCTCTCACATTTAAGTTCACTTTACCACAGAACCAAAAAAGCACCATTCGTTTTTAAAATACGGTACATGACTGGTTCCCTCAATTTTTTTTTTTATCAAATGAAAAATTAATCGGCAAACTGAATTGAATGACTAATTTCACACATATAAATGATGAAGACTCACCTCATACCTCTCGACGCAAGCAATCCGTAAAAAAAAGTACTTTGAAATGTCGCAATCACTTCTGATTAATTCATTAATGACTAATACTATTTATTGTATGAGAGAGATGGAGTGAGGCGAAATATGGGAAAGTTGAAAAAATGCTGAGGACTCACCTCGTAACTCCACGTGCAAGGTATCCCTGCGTGTTTCTTAACACATCGTCCAAGCTCGACGTCCTCATGACTTGTGTAAAGATTCCCAAGGCACTCCTTGATATGTGGAACAATTCTCCTGAGTGTCTCCCTCGAGAGTATAACTCCGGGCCCACCCATGCAAAAATTCTCATCATACTCCAAGGACAGCAATCCAAACTCCTCCGAATTGCCCCTCCCCGCTTGTCCAATGTACATCGGCTTCCTGGAGTCCACTGACCTCAGCAGACCCTCAAGCCTATCACTCCTGACATAAACATCATCATCAGCCCTGAGAAACCACTCGAACTTATCCCCAAAGTGCTTCCACATGTACTGCAGCATGAGAAATGATTTCTTCTGGGGTGGATATCCATCGTCAACGGTGGGAAGTGCTACCAGGGGTAGATCCCCGGTATTCACTGGCAGTGTGGAAAATTCAGACGAGAAAAATGCGATTTTCCCGGGTACAGTTTTACCCCAGGTCTCCCAAACAGCTTTGGCTCTGGTACCCAGGTACTTGTGCGCTGTCATTACACCGACGAACACGAGATTTTTACCCGTGACATTGACATCGAGATTGTGAACCCTGACAGGTGGTCTAGCTGTTGATCCTCTTGTTGGTGATGGGGTCATCGGATTGCTCGTTATACCCCGGTAATTCATCATGATCAGACCGAGGAGAAAGCCGACGGTGAGGCCGACAATGGCACTGGCCAAGCCACGTCGTCTACGCATCACTGAATTATCCGTCACCTTGCCCATTTGCACACTTCCTGATTCTCCTCATCTTCAATCTCCTGTGTCACATCGATGATACCAGTCCTTGTCGATTGTTTCTTTTTACTGGTATCCATCAGATATTTATCTGGTGGCATTTTCTATGAAACACTCGCATCGTTTCTTCCACGGATCAATGGGCCTCTTTGCATCTTCGAGGGACAAAAGTGAGTTGTTCTTTCTGTTATCGCCGGATGATGATTATCTGGAAGAATTTTATTGGGGAATTTGGGAATGATTAGAAATTTTATTGGATGACATTCAGGATGGCGAGATCATTCATATTTCAACGTTTTTGGTAATTAAATAAAAACTTGCAGTGAGAACTCACGGAATTGGAATTTTTTTTATTGAAGTTCATTTTTCGACTATTATTCCAGATTTGATAAGATTTGATAAGATGTTCCCTATTTTTGTAGCAAGAGTTTTTAAGGCAATTAATTGGGTAAATTTTTGTTTTATATCTTTGCGATAATTATTTTTCTCATTCGAACTTATTTTGCGCATTTGAACTTGAAGTTTGAAATAATCGGGTTTTCAATCAGTTTGCGGGACTCAACAATTCCCTTATGAAGATAAAGAGCTCACGGTCTTCAGAAATGGAATATCGTTTTACATTTGAACAATGGGAAGACCTGAAAAATATCTGATGAATGCAATGCCAATTTTTTTACGCAGCAAGTTTTTGCATAAAATGGGTAGATATCACGCGAGATTTAATGTTCCACGAACGCGAAATAGGCAGTAAGTTTTTGAATTGATAATTTTTATTTGGCATCGCTCTGTTGTAATAGACTGGCTCTCCCCATGTCAACAGGTGGTGAATCATTTCTTTGATTTTTGATATTGACTCAGTTGTCATGCCACTGAAGAGATTTCGAGAAAAATTGCCGAGATAATCGCAGAATACTGATAAGGCGAGCCCTTTTTAACCTCGCGCTAAAGCGAACAACCGTAACGAGATTCAAGTTCGAATAATAAGGTCTTCAATCGTTTCGCATTTCACGGAGAGAAAAAAGTTAACGGCAAGGAACAACTCCTGTTTGAAAAACTGTTTGAAATTCTGATGCCAACGAAATTGATGTACCCGGTTAATTTATTGAATTAAAATCTCAAAATTCGAATATCCTCTTTATTCCGCCTTTCCCGCAACTCCCTTCAACAATAAATAATTTCCCAACGTCAACAAATTAAATTTCTGCACTTCCGCGCTCCGATTTTCCGCGGAAAAAATCCAAAATTCAAATGCGATTTCGTGGCTCCTGCCAAGACAATGACTTTAATAATTTTAATCATCCAATGTCACGCACTTTTATCATTGTCGACTGTAATTGAGGTCACAATGGATTAGTATCATTTTTCAAGGACAATACCACTATTTTAATTGAATTCGAACGGAAACTCCTCATGAATGCTATTTCTCGTATTTTGCGTACTGAGGTTTCGCACACGGTCAATGAGGTGCAAATACCAGTCGTTTGAGTTCTCTTTAATGTTCTTGGCGGAATTAAGGGGGAAGTGAGGGGGGGGAGGGGGCACCGTTAACAGTCGTTCTCGGTGGATTAACCTCTTACGGTTCTTTTTCTTTTTTGCGTTGAGTTAGCGGAATTCTTCGGGAGGTATTAAATATTTGCACAGGGCAGATGCAAACAAGAGGTAATACGGTTTATAATAGGGGTGGGAGTCAATCAAAAGCCTGACAGGAGGGGGAAAGGGGGCAAATTTGTAGGAAGTACTCTTTACATTTATGCATAGCCCAATTGTTTCTTCATGCCTGCACTCGCACGACTCTTCGTATTTCCGTTCACATGAATCTTGATTCTTCCCTGAACTAATCCCAGGGCTTTACGATATCCCATTCGGTGGGAGAGGACCTCAAAGGCCATTGAACTCCATCGCTGTTTAAATGACCCGAAAATTGGGACCGGGGTCTGATAAGATGGGCTTTCGGATAAGTGTGATGTAACCCAGAGTTTTTTTTTTAAGAAAAATACGGCACTGGAAATTTCTTACTTTTTTTTTGAAAATGTCTTTTGAAGCTCTGATTGGATGGGTTTTAATTACATTGACATTGAGAAAGTTTATTAGAGTTCGCATTAATTAAAGAAGTTCAGGAAATTAGGACTTTTTTGGGAGAACGATCACTAATTTTTCAATTTCTTCAATTTACAATTTCCAATTTACAAATTTTTGGGGAAAATTCTGGTGTAGTGGGAATGGGAATGAATGATTTTCTTGATGTGAGGGAAAAAATTCATCGGTTCTAAAAAAAGTGTTATTGAATCTCGAAATATCTTCTCGTACATTAAGAAAGTTTATATCTCCGTGGAACGTAAAGTGACGGCTAGGAAAAAACTCTAGTGCTAGCACGTGTATTTTTTTTTCGCATTTATGACAATTTCCCAGAAATACCGCAGAAATTACAGTTCAACGAGTAGAATTTTTCACCGTCCTGCTCTTCTTTTTTCATTGCTGTACTGAAATTATTTTTGAAAATTGGAGGTCACATTTACCACGCGGAGAAATCTACATACGATCCACTGTTTAGAGATAATTCAATTTTTTTACGCACTTGACCCAGAAATGGTAAAATAGCCGTATAAAAATTTTAAGTTTCCAATAAAAATTCCGTGAAATTGCAATAAATTCAATTTTCAGATTCTCAGCATTTTTTATTGAACGTGCAGTAAATTCCGATTATTTTATCCTCAGCCCTACAACACTTGTAATTCGCCTGTAGTCCAGCTGTCAAGGTGCTTCCAAGAATTGTTCTTCGAGTGAAATTAATGGCAATTGAGGAGTGGCATGAGCACCTCGTTTAACGCGATATGCAAAACCGGTGTGATTTTTTGAATTGAATAAAAAATAAATGGTAACCCGAGTTTCACTGGGATTGAACTTGACGCGGCACTTGTTGACGGTGAAATAAATAGGCCAGGATCGGGGAGACTGGTGTGACACCCTTCTTACTTATTGGTCCACCTTTGAAGATGCTCGTGCTGAGATGCTGCACGGTCTGCGGTCGGGATGTTCTGTGGTGCTGCGTGTCGGATGGCACATTCACAACTAAACCGACGAGAGAGCGATAGTCCGACTGGTCCCATCGGCTCTCGCCACAACTCTCTTAGCTCATACCCCGCTCTCTCATTTACCTCCTTTTTAACACTCCTTGGTACAGTGACGTAATACCAGGTTTAATACCATCGGGAACGAACTGTTAATCCACGGACATTAGCCAGATGACGTCTGGACCATTGTCCCGTGAAATTTACTTTTCATGTTATCCAGTAAATTTCCAGGCAATCGTTTCCTCAGGGCTTCAACTCTAGTTATGGGTTTCGCCAAGATCCTGCAGCTGGGGTCAAGTTCGATTTATCATTCATGACTTATCACTGCCCCCCCCCCTCTCCCAAAAAAAAAAATGAAAAATCTATAAATAAAATGGGGAAGTAAAATAATTTTTGAGAATTTCGAAATTTTTGAAATTATGGTAAAATGAAAAACAAGTTACGAACTTCAAATTCTGAGGAAAAAAATTCATATCAAAGGTTTTATTGCAGGGAAACTACTAGATTTCCCACTCTGGTATTGTACGAGCTCGTGTCGTTGGCAAATCAGGGACTTCCGTAGAAATGGCAACGATTCCGATCGTGCCATGCTAATCATACACCACATGCAGACCAGAGCACGTCCCACCGAGTGTTGTACAGTAATTTGTCGATTCATTGGATGCAACACCACTGGCAACTCGATGAAAATAATATTGACCATTCCTGCTACGTCCAACGCTTATCCTTCATTCTTGAAAAAGAACATGTGGCTCATGAAAATTCTTGGAAAAGAGAATCCAGATTTACTTGTAACATTTGGTTTTAGAACCCGAGACACTGAGCAAGAATCGTTTATTTTCAAATGCTCGAACGTTAAATATTTCGACGGGAGGAGAAGCGGCTGGGAAGGGGGTGGCGACCGGGAGGAGGGAGGGGTTCGGCGGAATTGAAAGGGGAGTATTAGATGTTAGTTGTTTTAGGGGCCTTTGACTAGATGGTTCAGGCTCCGCCAGACGAGAGCATTTTTCTAGAATCTTTCCTTTTTTTGGGATCTCTTGATGATAGGGCCCCACTGGGCCCGCGAGGGCAGTCGAGAAAGAATAAGACGATAAATCGATTAAATTCATCGCTCCATGATCATTCCAGGAATCGGTCGCTACAATCTTTCGTTTCTTTAATTTTTTTGCCTCTAATCAAGGGGAAACAGTCAGCGAAATTACACACTCATCACTATTTGAGTCATTTAATTATTAATTTACGTGAAAAAAAATGGACACATGAAGATTCCAGAGAAATTGTAAACATTTTTGCTATGAAATTTAAATGGAATTATATTGTCATTGCAAATTCGCGGATTCATAGGGGAAAACGCGCAATTAAAGGCTCCGAGTTTCGACGAAAAAAAAAAATTCTGCATATAATTATAAGTATTAAATGAAATGTGCAACACAGCATGTAATGATATTTTATTCAGGACTCTGTAGAATTTTTTTATCTCCGAGATTTTCACGAAATCATTCATAATCGATTTATGCAGGAATTGAAAATGCAGTGAAAAATGTTTGTGATGATTTTTTTAATTTCAATTTTTGCAGAGAAATTCGGAATCGATCCGGGGAGTAATCTCGTTTTACCACTTCGTCATCGATTGAATTCCCCTTCGAGGCTGGAAGTCACAGAAGTCCCCTCCGATTACATTCCCAGAACTGGAGGTCTGGACGATGCACCACTGGGTCCCTCAATGGTCCTAGAATTGTGCAGAGTAACAGAGCAGGTAGACGTGAGGGTACACCTCCCTTGAAATATTAAGCAGGGAAATTTCCAGGGGGATTACTCGTTTCCATCCCCTCCCCAGGTTTCACTTATTCATGCAGCCTCAGATAACCGTTCTTCTCTTTTATCGATCCTCTTGCCCCAGGTTTTTAACAAATAGAAATTTATTTATAATCCATTTACACGTGATGTTTACGGTTTTATCATCGTCAGGGCTTTCCACGTGCCTCTGATCCACGAATCTCTGTCTCTAGGCATTTCGGTTCAGGTAATCGGGCATTTTCTCGGTCTACAGCTCATATTTTATGGCTGTCCGAGTATGCACTCGGTACTTCAGGGAAATTGCTAGTTCATGAGTTTACGAGGCGATGCCGTTTTGGCGGAAATGTTTACCTTGATGGATGTAGGAATACGGGGCAAAATGGACAGTTAACGCTTTCAGGAGCAAATTAAATATCGTCGACAGATGGACAAAAAAATGTCGTAAAAATTACGCGATTAATAGCAATAATGCGGTGGAATATTCTTTTCTTTGGATTAATTTTATGTTGAAGCACCAAGAAATTACAGGATGAAAGGTAAATTTATTCTTTGAGCTCCGGAATTTTTATGGATTCGAATTTTTACGTGACTGATGATGAAAAACGATGACTGGTAATTATTTCGGTATTTTCATTATATGTAAAATGGGAACATTTTCACAAAGAGGACAGGAAATTTCAGCCGGCATTTGAAATCCCAAATTTTCCGGAATTTTAACAAAAGTTAAGTTAATTTTTTTTGTAAAAATATCTGAATCTGAGGATAAATTTTATTTGAAGTTTCTCAGTCGGTGAATTTATTGCTAGCTTACGTTAAAAATGTGTCCTTTGCTCCGCCCTACTGTGTGATCCTTGGAAGAAATAATCCTTGGAAGAAGGTCGGGTCTTGGTCTTTTGAAAGGCCTCAAGGGATGGGTCGGTCACAGGGGGAAGTGTGGATCGTTTTAGTCCAGCGATTTATTGCCATCTGGAATAAGGTTGAGAGTCCCTGGCGGCTGGTGGAGCGCATCTACGAGGGATCGGAGAAAACCGACCTGAATCCAGACATTTCTAACAAGAATCTCCACATTTTCACCTCTCGGGATTAATTCACCAATTCCTCTTTCAATTCCAAATCCCAATGACTGGCAATCCCCCAATAATCAAATTATTAGCTCCAAACAATTTTCCCTTTTTTCCACTTTTCTTTTCCATCGAAAATAAAAATTCCACAATTTCCAATAATTAATAAATTAAGACTCCGAGTTAAGCCGTTCTTGGAATCCTAACCATCCGCGTTACCGCGGGTTTTTGAATGACGCCACGTGACGAAAATGCAAAATGGCCGAGTTTTGCCGCCGTGACGGCAGATCATTGAACCCGATGTGACAATATTGTTCAACTCACAACCCACACTGAGCAACAATCTCCAATTTCCCTTCAAAAAATCACCTAATCCTCCTCAAAAATAATTAACTCCGACCATAAACAACCCCTACCTTTTTCTTTTTTTAAAAAACCGATTCCCCCTCAGGACTGTACCACACGTCCCGCGCATTCTAAAAAAAAGCACCAAAAAATAAAAATCAATTTGACCCGTCGCAGTCCGAATAATCCCAGAAATGAAATACTCCTTGAATTTCAAATTCCTTGACAAAAATTAAGGAATGTGCGAATGCGTGAGATTTGGAAATGTTTCGCGAATTGGCGTGTGGTGATGGAGAATTGTTTCAGAAATTGCAGAAAAACGGAGAAAATTTTGTAAAAGCCCGGGCATTTGGAGGGTGAGGCCTGTCCTGGGGGTGCGCGCGCCTTCTGGCAACTTGACTTCGTCAGTCTCGAAATACTAGAACTGAAAACGGGAAGTGACGCGCAAGGCATCGGTTACGTTTACATTCCCCGGCTACAACCCGAAGTCGCTCGAGTTTCATCGTTGGTTGTTTCATTTGTGGGAAGCCATTACCCTCGTCCGCGCTAAAGCATCGTGCCATATTCCCACACGCGTCCGCTAAAGTAACAACAATTCACGTAGTCATAAGTGAAATATTATGAGAGTGAAAGCCGAAATGGACGACGACGAAAAGGGGTGAGTGTTTAAAGTACAGTAAATCCAGTAAAATCGTGGTTAACCAGTGGAAAAATAAGATCAACATTTTTTTTTTCTCCACGTTCAATCGTCATCATGGTACGGAGTTGCGAGATTGAGGGAGGGGAACTCATAAGTCGGAAATGTCGCTTGGGTTTTCTCGTGGAATTCCCTCGGAAAAATGCCACCATTTATTTCATCTCGTTTCATTTCAATACGCGTGATATCCACGTCAATGGCGGACTCTTGTTTGTCCCTTTTTTTTTTATGCTCCTTTCGCACGAAATTCGAGACGGAGCAGCCGGGATTTTTTTTTCTCACCAGTGAAGCGTGCCTTTTTTTTCACACAATCCGAGAACACCAACGCCGGCTCACACACGGCAACTCAATTCTTCAATTTACGATGAATTTTCATTTTATTTCTCATCCTCTCCTGGTTTTTTCGGTTTTATCGGATCGACATTTATCGCGGTTTTGAGGGGTTTGTTTAAGTTTTTTTTTCGCTTTTTTGGTTTTTTTTTTTGGCGTTGAAGAATGGTGAAAGTGTAGCATTGTGCCGGCAGTCGCGTTGGCTTTCCATCCTCGGCTTGTTCCCCTCTCGCCTTCGCAACTTCTTATGGAAACGCTTTGAGATACTGTGAGAATAGTCTGCATTTGGGGCGATTTATTTTTATTCAGAAAATTCCGATTGATTTTTTGTTTACTCGTTGTTTCGAGCTCTTGGGTTGTTCAACTACTCGTCTCTGGGTTTTTTTTTCTGTATTTTTTTTTGTTGTTGTGAGTTTAACCTCGTTAACTCCATTAATTGGTGATTTTTTCCGGGCTCACCCCAGCGTGAATGGAGTTCGCTTTCTCTGAAATTAAATTTTGCTGATTATTTTGGGCCTCGGGAGGGGAGATTGGAGGTGGAGGTGATAAGAGCTCTATCTTATTCCCGGGATCAGAGATTAGGCATCAGGGGATCGGTGTTACTAAGTCGAGATCGAATGACAATTTGGTAGGACTGATAAATAATCCCGATTTTGTAGTTTTTCGTCAGTTTGTCGTGACAAGTTTTCCAATTTTCTGATGAAAGAAAAATGAAAATCTCCGAGTCAATGCGTGCGGGAAATTATAAATAAAACACTCGTTGGTAAATGTGCATTTTTCCTTCGTGATTGGCACCTCGTTCAGCCGAGATGACTCACTCGGGGATGACGCCATCGTCCCAGCACTCGGTATTTTCTCCAACAAAAGCTTGTTTTGATAATTATTTTGCACAATACTGGTGGTGTAAAGAAATGAGATAAAGCATTATCAGTTTACCCCCTCAATATTTATAACTCGAAGCTGAGAAAAAGTATCAAGCTGTTTCAACATTGATGGCATTGTTCCCCTCGTTTACAGAAAATTGTTTGTCGGCGGCTTATCCTGGGAGACAACGCAAGAAAATCTCCAGCGTTACTTCAGCCGTTATGGCGAAGTCATTGACTGTGTGGTTATGAAGAACTCCGAGTCTGGACGTAGCCGTGGATTTGGCTTCGTTACATTCAGTGATCCTGCTAATGTTGGACTTGTTCTTCAGAATGGGCCACATCAGTTGGACGGTCGTACGGTAAGAATCAAGAAATCGTAAATTAAACTTATCCTTTTCCGTCATTCACCGGCCTCCCTCCAAAATTTTCAAGAACCCTTATTTTCACCCTCAACTCTTAAATCCGCCAATTAAATAAAAACATGTGTAGTATTTTTATAAATTATTTCGTATAATTCCATTATCATTTTTGTTACTGGGAAATTTGATTTTCTGGGGAGGATCGATGGAGGGATAAATCAAACAAAATTTCTGAGTTGAAATAATAGAATAGAGACACATTCAAAGGAAAGAATGGAGCAGGTATATGCGTATATGTAATTCTGAGGCTTTTATCCTCCAGATCGACCCAAAGCCTTGCAATCCACGCACCCTGCAGAAGCCGAAACGCAGCGGTGGCTTTCCAAAAGTCTTTCTTGGTGGCCTTCCCAGCAACGTCACCGAAACTGACCTGCGACAATTTTTCGCCCGCTTCGGCAAGGTCATGGAAGTGGTCATAATGTACGACCAGGAGAAAAAGAAATCCAGAGGTGAGAAGCCCCAACCGCCAAATAATACATTTACATCATCACATTTTCTCCTTTATGCATAAACTAAATTAGTAAACGTCAACGTAAAATTAAGCTCTACTAAGAATTGCTAAATCTAAAGATAGTGTAACACCACCGTGTCCGTTTTTTTTATGAAATAATTGTTTCGATGAATACGTTACATTACGTTACACTCGTTATCCAATTATATAGAATTTACTCTAAGTATGTCTGTTAAGTGTAGCATAAGGCTGTCTCATGTGCTACTGTAAGGTGTATCACAAATAGCTTAAGTTGACTAAGCTACCTTTTAAGGCACTCGCGGAACCGCCATTATTTCTTTAATAATCTCACTCAACTCAGAAGATTGCTCCATTTATCAATATCATCAACCCACTTGCATACTTATTTACCGAACCGCGTCACAACAGGTGAAATAACATATTCCCCTAGTTTTTTTTTTATCCATTGAAAAAACCTTCAGCATTTCAATTCATCAGTTGTCGAATCCAGTAGCGAAAAAATTCATGATAATTGATAAGTTCTCACGATATATATCTGAAACTAAAGGAGGTAGTGAAATTGTCGTTAGAACCCTTTTGGTGATTCTTGATCTACTCTGCAAAAGAATTGCTGATAAAAATTTTGCTATCTCTTTTGGATCAAGAGATATTTTTCAAAAACTCGGAAGTTGTCGATTTCTTGCAATTTACCGCTTTGCTACTGACTTAATTCACCATATTATTTTTTCACGTAACGTATGTGACGTATGCGAGTTTTTATGAGCCTCGATAAATACTAAAAAGTCAATGAAACGAGATAAGTAATGCATACTTGGAGAAAAATGTACCGAAAATGGTCCATTTTCCTTGCTAAAAAAATGTGTCACGTTTGGACAACAGGATTTGGATTTCTCAGCTTCGAAGATGAAGACGCCGTGGACCGATGTGTATCCGAGCATTTCGTCAACCTAGCCGGCAAACAGGTACAGTATAATCCTCACAAGAAAACCACACTTTACCAATAATATTCATTATGATAGCCTGTAGATAAATAATCGTTATATCCTATTTATAGTTAACCAAAAAGAACATGGAAATTCAATAATTTCTACTCTATTTTCCCAGTGCAATTAGCCTATAAATAAATCGATAATCGTCGTAGTCAAGTTAGCGTACAATGTTAAGTTTAGTATAATAAAAAAAATTATATCTCATTATATTATCCATGCACATTAGATTAGAAGGGCGATGGCGATATTTTTTAATTAAGAGCGGACATTTTGGTCGTTTTCATGATATTCAAATGTGACTTTTGGGAACTTTTATGTAATTCAAAGAAAGGATATTTCTCGATAGGTGTCGCAAAATTTACGGGAATTTACCCCATAATTTAAATTTTTTATTCTGTACTAGAGTGGTGGAAGGAAATGTGTGGACTGAAAGAATTAATCTAAAAAATTAATTAATCTAAAAAAATGTTGAATCTCGGAGGAAAAGTCGGAAAACTTTTTGAAAAAGGATAAATTGATAATTAAGAAAGAAATTTTCACCTGGACTTGCGAGACTTCATTTTTTCAATCTTTTTACAATTTAACAACGATAAATGTTTCATTTGAGTATCAAAAAAAAATGGCGAGTGGTCCAGTGGTTTTCTCATGACTCGATCTTCAACCTCTTGGTTTCAGGTTGAGATAAAGCGTGCGGAGCCACGTGACTCATCCAGCAAGATGAATGACAGTCATCAGGGTCAGTGGGGTCCACCACAGCAGGGTGGTCCACCAATGGGTATGGCCGGTAATATGGGCCCCATGGGTGGACCCAATGGCCAGATGGGTGGCCCCATGATGGGTGGACCAATGGGTCCACCTGGTAACATGATGCAGCAATATCAGGGCTGGGGTACAAGTCCCCAGACTGGTGGTTATGCTGGTTACAGCACCCAGTACAATGCTCAGGGCTGGGGTGCACCACCAGGGCCACCCCAGCAGCAACAAATCCCTCCACCTCCACCTCACCAGTGGGGCAGCAACTACAGCGTTCAGCCAGCTGCATCAACTCAGGGATACGGAAACTACGGTGAGTCCACTTATTCATTAAAAAATTATCTCATTAATTTCTAATTTTCTCTCGCGTCAACTTATCTCTTAATTTAGTTAAAAAAAAAAAACACTTTCGCGACAGAGGCAGTCGATCCAGCCGATGATTATTGATAATCGACTGCTTTTACCTCATGAAAATATTTCTCTGAATTGACAGTTGATTTTTTTTGTTGATATTTTTTCTCTGGTATTTTGGAGCCTCGAGAAACATTTTCGGGGGTGAATTCAACGGAGGGAGAGAGCGTGAGTGAGAGAGGAGGGGAGATTATTAGATTTATCTTTCTAGGGGAGTATTTGAGTGATTAAATTGGTATTTCATGTAGATCCTCCAACTCCTTCCTTTTCGATTGCCTCCGTCGCAATGAAAGATAATAATTACATTGTGGTGTTTTGAATGTGGGTTTTAAAACTTTAAAAATTAAGACGACAATATCCCGATCCTATCCAAATTTCCATCCCGCTTGGACAGGTTTAGTGGCATGTTATTGCCAATTGAAGGAAAGTGATAATTCTTGCGTGGAGAATTTATTTGTGTTGAGGATTTTCTTTATTTTTTTTTTTGGTTTTGTTTTTTGAGAGTTGAGCCCTCGGTGGGTTACGATTCTCTCGTAGGGTTAATTCAGGAAAGAAAATACAGTAGGATGACTGTTCAGTGTAATCTCAAGTTTGAAGGCGTCAGGCGCTTTTGGATGAGTTTTCGTTTGTGCCTGGTCAGGCACTTTTTTTTCACATCTTTTTTGTAATATCGACGTAACATTGTCTCACGATCTCTCTCTTCGCCGGTGCGATCGACTTGCTGTGATTTCTCACTCATACTCGTTCCATCCACTGATATCGAAGAGCAGAATCAAGTCGTTAAGGATATCCAAGAAATTCTTACGATTTCACGGCAGAACCACATTATTAGCAATTGTCAATTCGTATTTTTTTTCCAAAGAATTTCATCTTTTTTATGCCAAAAACCCTTTTTTAGTCTAAAAACAATTCTTTGGTAATTATTTGAGGAAAATTATGAAGTCCAAGGAAATATAAATTTTTTACTTGTGTTATAAATTCAGAATCAATGAATACAGCCCAGAAAAAAGTATAAGCAACAAAATTCCGAACTACTTGGATATCCTGAAACGAGAAAATATTCTCCATGATGAAAAATCATGGGGGAGCGAGTTGGGAGTTTGATCCGAAAATAATATTTTCAAAATTTTGAAAGTTCGCCATCCAAATCAGGAGCGAAGTGATAGACCCGGATAAGTAGGATATACCATTCATCTAAATGATCGATATACTCGACAATTATGGATTTCACGATGAAATCTCTACGGACTTTTGCAGCTGATTAAATTCCTGATAAATCGAATCTTAATATGCTTTTTGCAAATCAATATTTTTTGGGATTAAGGATGTTTAGCAATTTTCAGCAATTCATGTTTACCGAAAATTCCACAATTTATTGACTGACAGTTGAATATACGGAAATGACATGTTTGACATTAAAATAAAATGAACCGCAACAGTCTGAACAGAACTAAATAAATCGAGCGTTCCTTACCCCAAGGCTCTCTAAAATTCATCTTCAAATCTCTAATTCTCGGACTCAAAGACGATAAAAATATAAATAAAAATACATCCCAGACAAAAGTGTTGGGTGCCATTTCAAGAAAGTCAATATGCACTAAATTCAATTCCATAAGTGGATAGCGTCTCCACGTAATCTCTGCATAATAAACGTGGATTGATGGATTTAAATTTCCACAACGATTTTTTTTCCTTGTGAATACCTGCGATTTTTGATAAACATCCTTAATCGGCATTTCGAAAAAATCGACTCATCAAATATTTCAATTTCGCAACTGAAGTGAAATCGTGAATAAAACGAAATGTAAGACATCCGTGACAAGTGTAATGAGACTGTTTACGGATTCGGTGACACGTGTTTTGTGTCTTAATGATCGCAGGTGGGCCGGCGGCGGCCACTTCAGGGGGTTATGGGCCCACAGCTGGTACTGGTGGGGCTGCGGGGGGTGGTCCGGGTGGTTCCTGGAACTCCTGGAATATGCCACAAAATGGCCCACCGCACGGAACCCAACCCCCACTCCAGCCCCCTCAGCCCAACTCCTCGCAGCCCAACTCCAACTCGAACCCCTCTGGCCCGCAGGGTGAGTCTTCACAAAAGCTCAAAAGTCAAACTTCTTCTTTTTGTTTTTTTTTTTTTCATCTCATTACTCTTTCTTTTTACCTCTCAAGTACTTCTCTTCATTATCATTTTTGTTGTCACTATGCTCATCGTTTTGTCGTGATGACTGTTATCACCATGGAAACACCAACTTCCCACTCCTTACTCGTTCATCTCACAAAAATCACATAACATCACTAAACAAATTCATATTTGGCGTCTGCATCGTCTTCGTGGAGTCACAGATTCATTTGACATGGGTAAATTTTAAACATTTCTCACATGCACTCGTGGAAAATCAGACTCAATCATTATTCATTATCAACAAATGCCCTGAGGAGATTATTATTTCTGCAAATTAATTTCATCTGAATCAAAGAAATTTGTTTGAGACAGTAAATAAAAATTGAGTTGATTCTTGCGAGAAATTTTTGGGTAGAAATTCGTGGCAGTGCATTAAAACGGGAGTAATGTTGAAATTTATCCATTTTTTTTTGGAGAAGTGGAAATCCACCATACACTAATGAATTTCCCCACTCAAAATTCATAACCTTACGTGGTAATTTTTCATCTGATGGGTGAAAACAAATCGCCGGCTCCTCATGTTATCAGCGCTTGCCTCCTCTTGTAATTTCCTCTTCACAACTTGACAGTTTCTATAAGAACAGGCATGACTCGCTGGGCAACAAAACTTAACGTGCGTCCCAATAAGCTAACACGAATAAGTTGATAGAAGTAGTGATCATTAGAGAACTACTGAGAATAATTTGGAATATTTTCATTGCCAATACCGCGTCACTCATATCCCAAAAACTGCCTTCAAAATAATGACGAAATAATACATTCATGTAGTACGAATTATAATTTTTATGTAAATTTATTGATGTCACGCTTGCCATCCATAGTATTCTCTTTCTCAAAATAACGAAGCCAACGTAACAATACACTGCTGTAATTATACATTCACTGTTAAATACAGCAAAAAGTAGTTTGGAGAGATCGTTAGTCATAAAAATGATTGAGTAGCAACTGCATTTTGTCCTCAGTTTATAATATAATTACAAGCTCAACAACAGCCTGACATTTTCACCTTCTGTATGTGAATTGTTTACAATAGAAACAACAATTCTCAATGACTCTGACCGATTGGTCGAACATCAAAGAATTTTCATTTAAAATAGAATGTAGAGTAGGCTAGTGCACTCCTCTTCTAATTCCTCTCATCTCTATAATCCTCACCCAGTTCGTCAAATAAAGCATAAATGAATAACCAATAAATATAAGCTAAACTCATGTCTCAATATTGTCGAGTTGAAATATTTTTCGTTCGCTTGTGCCTGTTAATTCACTCGTTTACTAGTACCTAGTCAATGAAGCATCACACATTTATGAAAAATCAGTTTCATAAGTGGCCAATTATCACGAATGGGCAAATGAAGTTTTATCATTGAGTCATGTTTTAGTATAGTTGTGTAGGTGTTTAAATAGATTGGTTTAGGGGATTTGAATGAGGATCAGATGGTGGGTTGGTTTCAGGTGATATGTATTCAAGGCAAACGACAGGCTCTGGTGCGCCAGGATCTAGCAGCAGTTCAGCTAAAACACCCGATTACAGTGGCTACACTGGTTACACCGGGAGTTTTCCTGATACGGCCTATCCTCAACGTTCTTATCAGGGTGGTGATAGTAACCAAGGTGGGTACGCTGCCAGCGCTCCAAAACCTGGCCAGCAAGGCTTTGATTACAAAGAGTGGCCCACCTCATGACCATTTTAATCTATCCCAGATGTTGAGAGATATGCACTAAATTGTTTCATCCTGCTGGCATGGGTTGTCCATATTTTTAACGTTAACGAGAAAATATTTACTTCTTTTGTACGATTATTCATGGGATTGATCGATTTTTCCTCGATGTTGAAAAGGATTTGGAAATTTTAGTCGTTTTATTCTGTATCATGGAGATGTGGCTTGTGCCAATTACGAGGGAGGACTTCATCCTCTTTTAATCGATTTACTTTGTATTTTTTTAAAGTTTTTTTTTTTTTTTTTCATTTGGAATTTTTGGATCATGGTAGACACCCCATGCTGCAGGTGGGATATTTAGGTGGCGCTGGGAATGGTGGGATATGGAATAAGAACAGTTTTAGGTGGGTGACGTTAAGGTCAGGGCGACGTTACAGATTTTTCAATGATAAATGGAGCAAGCGAGCGTAAAGGAACATTTTTTTTAATTAATAAAGGAACCTATAATAGTGATGAGATGAAAATAAATATGTCACGGGGGTGGACGAGGTGACTCTGGAATATATTTCGATTTTAATGATCATTTGAGATTTCTCCACCAATTGCATGCACTCGTTCACCACCGGACGACAACCGACACCATGCAATTATTGATGATTTTAAAAAGGAAAATAAATGGATTTAAGTGAGTTATTATGATTCCAATATAATGAATTTGAAGGCGCATTCGATGAGCCAGAGCCTTCGAGACATCTCAAAAGAAAAAAAAAACCCCTTCCACATGTCTTATGTAACTAATTAATTATAGTTAGATTATCGAGTTGTGGGAAAACTTATGGGACACGTGGGAAATTCAATTATTAAATTAGATAGAAACAACTCGATAGTTAAAGTAAACATGTTCACTGGCTGATCTTAAACCTAATGGAAATTTTTTTTTTTTTAATGAAACAATGAACGAAGAAAACATAGAGTTTAATGGTTAAAGGTTAAAAATAGAATCATTGTCGCGTTGTACATTGTGTGTCAAATCATTGACAGCTGTAGCTGGCTACTGTAGGTTTCGTTTTACCGCCGTTTGGACTGGACTTTCTATCAATAATTAACTATTAGTTTTTGAATGAATCTTGAGGGGAGATTTTTGCACGGGTTGCGGGCTGTCAATACTAATTAAAACCGCCCTTGCAACGCATTTAAACTTGTATTAATTTAAACACACCGTGCCAACTTAAAGTATAATAAAATGTAAAGTAGAATTAATGAATAACATTTTTGATTGTAATTAAATTGAAGGGGTCTTGATTATTGGGACCCTGGGTATCTGCAGCCTCTCAAACTCCTCCCCTCGGGATCGAGTACTGTACATTTCCATCTATCCTTAATTCTCTTCAATATTTATTCTGTTTTATTCCTTTTTTTAAAATTAGTTTCTCTATTCGTCAATAGGATAAGCATAGAACGAAAATATGAAAACTTAATGCAACGCGATGCATCAATCTCAATATTCCTTACAAATTGTACTGTAGGGATTATTGTTTCAGTTATTTTAAAGTGTTTAATTTTTTTCTGTCGAATTGTTCTTCTCGTCTGCAAGTTATTGTCCACCGGATCTGAGATATCTCATTGTTTTTACTCATTCTGTAGTATCTATTATTTCACAATCATCAACAGACATCTCAGTGTCGGGAACACTGGTAATTAATGAAAATGAATGAAATAAAAATACAAAATGAATGGTAATGAATTAATAAAAAAAAAAAACCACTAATCCTAGTTAACTTTTGGTAATTGCCCAATTTTTTAATGATAAACAACTGACGACTGTAAGATTTTTTTTCTGTATTAATAACTATATAAATTTTAGACTGGCGAGACTGAGTTCATCATTGATATATAAATTAAAATTGTTGTGGTAAGGGGATTTGTATGTTTTTCCACAGAATAAGAAATTGTTAAATAAATTGATAATGAAAATTGGATGTCTCGAGGGCGGGTGAAGGAGAAATGAATAAACGGTGCGTTTACAACAACTGAAATTGAATTAAGATGTGTGGAAATTTTGGGGATTGATGTGGCAAGGGGAGGGGGCACTGATCTGAAAAGTCTACCTGATTAAATATATGGCTTAATTATATTTACTCTGTAGGGTTTACCATAGAACCTATAAATGAATATATTTCTAAAAGCGGCGGCTCTCCATTTAAAATGCTTAAAAGAATTATTGCTGGGCCGCGTTATGTGACTTTCTTTACCGCACGTATAGTGACGAAAAATCATTCTTATTTAATCATTGATTTTCAACTCTTGGGGGAAAATATATTTTAGCAAGGAGATATAAATTAAGTTTGTCCCATCTGATGATAAATTATTGCGATCGCAGCTGTTATTTATCTCTCCTTGCGCATATTATCCTATTTCTCATTAATTTCGAGTGGGAAATTATTGAGGTCGTCGCGTTAACGTGAAGTGACGCGGCTCGATATCGAGGAATAAATTAGAGAAAAATACAATTTTGGGATCAAGACATCTTACAATTAACGAGTAATTAAGGAACAAAGGGAGCTCAATCAAATAACCCTTTTGTCTTTGTGCTAATGAAAATTAGACGGGAGAAATGAGAAATTGAACAAACGTCGGGTACGTGGTGATGATAACGCGGATATTACTGAGAAAATTAATAATTATACATTTACATAAATACATTAATTGATGAAAACACAGTCTTACACGCATAATACGAGTTAGAACCTATAAATAAGGAGTGGAACGCGTTGTTGATTATTCAGATAAATAAGAGGCTAAAGTTGATAAAAAAAAAAGAGTAGGGGGAAACGATGAGATCTAAATAAAAGATGTGGGGCGGGGGGCTACCAGGGGTGGAGGAAATCATAGGGAATTGCTTTATTATTTTTCTTTGTCTAAGGCTGTCCATCTCGTCTTATCTGTAACTGTAAAAAAGTAATTAACGAAGATAACGATTGAATTCAATGATAAATGAAACCATTAGTGCTAGACAATGACTGCGAGTTATTAACTATTACGATTATGTCATTATTATCCGTAAACACTTAATGAGAAGAAAAGCCAGAATATAACTGAAGGAAAGTTTTAAAGTAACGATTGTCGTGATAAATGAGATGATAATTTAAAATTTCTATTTAATTTTGATAGAGGCATCATTTTACAAGGCATTTAATGTGAAAGCAATACGTCGGGTGCGCCTTATGGGGCTAGGTGAACAAATCACATTGATTTATTCTAGTAACGAGTCTCAGTGGGATGAAAACTTAAATTTAATTGGTATCGTGGAGAGTGACATTTGACGATAGATGAATTTGTTTTTTTTTCTTTTTAATAGTTTCCCATGCATTTGTAAATACATTTCTCATTTTTATTTCAAATTCTAGTAAATGGAAATTAAAACCATATTGATTGCGCGTGAAAATTTAATGCAATAAAATTTAATCAACTGTTTAGAGAAATTATTGATTGACTTTAACTAATTGTAAATGCGGATAAACGGTAATTTAATGATTATTAGTATTTTTTTAAATATCAGAATATAGTGACAAACTCAGATGATAAAGGGCTAGGTAGAAAAAAAAATAGGGGAAATTCTCAGTTCTTTTTTAATTCGTGTAGGATATCGTTGAACACTCTCAGGGTTGTTGATATTTAAAAAAAAAATAATTTCCTAAGGCTACGTTTTGGATTTATATGTTTCATTGTTTTTTCAACATGAGATCTCCACCTCGAATTACGTTACGACAATTCACTCAGACTTAACAGATAGGAATTTTTTTTTTAATTTTCTTTTCCCCTCCATCGAAATGATAGATTCCCTCTCGTTGACTAATTCGTAATGCCAATCCGTGAATTATTATCGTAAGGGTTATCATGGTAAAATGCATATAAAAGTTGTCATGGCGTTGAAGGAAAAAAGTAAATTTAAATTTTAATGAAGAAAAATAATGCAAAATACAGTGTAAATGCAGTTTAAGTTAGTTCGTTGTTGGTTTGACTATATTTTTCCATTGTAACTTAATTAGTTGATACATTCATAACTAAACATACGTAAAGAATTAGGTGAAATCAAAATAATTAATGAAAACAGCAGAATGAAATTTTTAATAAGGTGAATCTTGACATTTAAGTAAAGTTAATGTTTTTATGGAGAAGTTTAATATATTAAATTTGTAGGGGAGGGTACGCCACAAACGTCCGCCCAATCCACTCAAGACTGGTTATATTAACTAAATGATACGTTTCCCTTTCTTAAATGTTTATTATCTACGCATCATTATTTTTCTCTTTCGTTCTACGAAGCTGGAGTTAACGCCGCCAATGTCATCTTAATCGCTCAGTGTGAGATTTTTCATTTGCCTACAATCTTGATTATGTTTTTTACCTTACCCTTCTGCCGTCATTTCATTTTTGTTTTTTTTTTATCAATTCGATATAGTCCGATTGCAATCGAATTTTAATGCCCGAGACTCCGCTCTCTCCCTCAAACCATTCACCCGAATGAGCCCGTGCTTTACCCATCATTTATTTACAATCAAACCAGTTGCTTATTCCACAATGTTTTAATTAATCCACAACGAGATGTGTCCAATTACAAAGTGACAGCCATAAAACTGACTAGAGGAGTTGAAATTCAAAAATTCTAAATTACTGTAGACAAATATTAAGGGACAAACAAAATAACAATTAATGAAAAATAACGTGTAGATGAGTGAATTGAAAGAATTAATAAATAAAACAATTAACAACACAGTAACATTTACACAATGAACATTAACAATAAACTGCTGTTACGCACACTCACGGGAGTGGAAATCTCCGGATGGAATCGATATGGGGATAAGAGTGCTTGGGAAATTATAACGTGAGAGGGAGGGATTAATTTGTTTTTTCAAACAGCAGAATGGATATAACTGCGAGAGATTTTTT